TTGTTCAAAGTAAAATTTTAGATAACTTCCATTAGAATCTTATAATCTTCCAAGTCGACACCATATTTTGAAGATTGATTTCTCTATGAAAAGAGAAACGGTTTTCACCAATTATCACGCAGTTATTATCTCCAGGTTGCAGAGATAACTTTAAAAGACAAAGATGTTCATTTGATATTAAATGTTGTCTAATTTTATCTAATTATCTAAAAAAATCAATAGTATCACTCGTCAATTTTCATTAGACTGAGAATCATAGTTCAGTTATATACGTTTCTTTGGCTCATTTTATTACACATATTCGACATATGCGTAAAAATGATATAAAACATATGACTGTAACTAATAAGGTACCGTAATATCAAGATTTGATTGCAAATTCGTCGACGCTTAAAGTGTCAATTGAAAAATTTTTGAAATATCCAAATCTTTGCGAATGTCTGTTTTTCTTATTGAGGATCTTAGGACAATAGCTTAGATAGATAGAATATATAATGCCATGTTTGTTAAGTATGTTTAAAAAGCACAATGAAAATCTTATAGGCAAGATCCTAAACTAGGATTAAATTGAACAAAATCAGATATATACGCCATAACTTAAAAGTCACATGAACTTTGACGAATAATAAAAAAAAAGATTCCATCGATTCTTTAACTTAATTACAAATTAGATAAAATTGTCTAACCTTTGACAGTAAATGATGCACTTCCTATCCGAATGAAAACTGCACTGATTATTTGCTCTTCAAAAATTATCTCTAAAAGCCGAAACGATAAGTTACATAAATGAAACACATTACGATTTCAGTTCTAGACGTAAAAGGCAATTTGCTAGTAATATTATATTGATGTAACAGGTCGTTAAATTCTAACATTAGGATTTCCAATAACTTAGCTGAGTAAATGAAATTGCACACGTACATAAATTTAAAATAGTTTTGTGGCTGTAGAATTAAAAAATATTAGCAACAAATTGTACCCAAAACGAAACTATAGAATAAAGATTCAAGCACACAATCTTACCCGATACACATATGTGTGTGTGTGTGTGTATTTTGTATAGAATAAATTATGGTAGCAAAGGGAAACATATGTTTATAAGTTGGCGTTATCTACGTCAGTTCTGATCCAAATAGCTTGTATTACATAAAGACTACTGTCAATGAATTATAAATATATTAATACATGAAACACTTAAAGCAAGGTCTACAGTTTTAAAGGTATATAAGATGTATTAAATAGAGCTCTGGTTATAACTTAAAAAGTGAACGCGTGCAATGTGCAAATATGACTGCATTCGAATTTTCAGTTATATTTATAAGATAAACGGAAATATCTCTAACAATTAAAAACAGACTTAACTTGTTTTACGAATTAAACGCAACCATTATATTATGAAGAATATATCATTAGAAATCTTACTCCTTTGTTACGTTGTCAATATAATTTTTATCGTTAATATTTTCGTAGTTTCATTAAGATATGCTCCACTGAATACTTATAATCTTAACCTAGCATATGCCATGATACCAGAGCGTAAGTCCAAAATACTTTGCACAGTTTTTTTTTCGTGCTAAAAGTAAGCTTTTTGCTGATTTACTTATTTCGTGTATGAATTTTTATTCCTAAAATTCTCTCATCAACAGGAAAATCGAAATATTCACTTGGTTTAGTTTTGACTGATATATCTTGTTTCGTCCTATGTGTTATGCTTGTTTAAACTGGGGGATTTGATTTACTTTCGGGTGGTATATACAAATTAGTCTTGCAAGATTTCTTGGCTTCAGTTTAGAATTATGTAACCGATTTATTTGCAAGTAATGTGTTTAAGTATACGTAAGGTATTTGGTTTCGTTTTGTATGTTCTACTGAGTCTCATTTTTACTGTGGTACCAGATTTAGTTTCAACTGAATTTGTTGTATATTGTATTTATGCCGTAGGCCCTAATTTTGAAGGAAAGCAGCCAGTCAGCAACACCCTACCAATCACCATCCACGCTAATGGATTGAATGTCATTCTTATAACCCGCCCACATCATAAAGTACTGGGAATATTATGAAATCCAGAGCTCTAGAATAGGGCCAACTCGCGTACCAATTTCAACTGCATTGCAGTTCTAATACTTTTTTTCACTTTAATGTATTTACTTTCTTATTTTAAATAAGTAACGATGCTTTTTTTTTCGAATCTCACAATCCCTATAAAGCTGACAAAGTTATCAGGAATGATGCTTTAGCATATCCATCATTATTTACAAATCAGGTCATAAAGTCTGTTTGAGTTTTTTAATATGTATAGTTTCATTGGATCTCTTGCAATAAAAATAGTTTCGTGTCAACAATTAAAGAATCTTGAATAAGATAACAAAGTGCAACACATTAGTTAACACTAAAACCTAAACTGATTTTCTCACCAGCTAAGATCTATAGTTTTCGAAATATATCAGCTCGCATCAGTTAAGCTTTCGACGAAAACGATTAGCCCTTACACAGGTTTACTAATGAAGGGTTCATTTCCCAAAAATCGGTATAACTCAGAGATGGGTAGTGAATTGAATGATAGCTTGGGCTTCATATTTATGCTTAGTTTCTTAAACAACATATCTGTTGAATAATTCAGAAGAACAAATTAGTAGCACAAATACTAGATGTTCACCAAATTCTATATAATCATAGGCTCACTTCGGTAAGTAAATTACAACTAATAACACCATACATGTCATATATGGTTCTTGTTTGGATTTCCCGTTATCAAGTGTTACTGATGAGGGTTGTAATTCTCTGAAACCGGTATAACTCAATAACATGTGGTGAACTGAATGATAAGTTGGGTTTCGTTTTTATTTTTAGCATCTGATGTGTGTTGCTACCTCATTTTTGTTACTTAGTGTATTCGTATCTGTTTAGGAAATATCTGTTTATCATTGAATATTATTCATTAGAGATATTGGTAATAATGATATTGATGATAGGAAGGCCACGTTTTTATTGTGTGTTTTTTATAAATACTGATGTGATTACTTAAGTTTTCCTAGACTCCCTCACCTTTTTTTTTTAAATAACCAGTAAATGTGTATCTAACAAAGGGTTAGCGTGACGGACTGTGAAGCTGGGGTTCCATGGTTCGCGTCTCGTTATCGCCAAAATCGCGCTTCGCACTTTGAAGCCATAGGTGTATTATAAAAGTGGCGGTCAAATACCATTATTTGATGTTTGACAAAGTAGCCTAAAAGTTGGTGGAGGTGGCGGTCTTGCCTATCTGACTTTCCTTTAGGCTATCATTTCATGTTTATAGACGACTAGGCAAATATCTCTTCTTCAGGTTTGCGCAGAATCCAATAAACAAAACCTAACAAATGAATTTTATACATACGTATATGGTTTAACGTCTTTTTTTTTGTTTACCAGTCTACAGTTTGGCTATCAAGTGTTTCGTAATAGCAATCATATTCCTTTCAATAGGTAAGTCAAGTTCTGAAATAATGGTGTTATTTTTACTTTATCTAATGTATAGTGTATTTTGTATGATTTATAGGCAAATATTGTCACAAAAAGAAACGATACGCCATATCAAAACACATGTAACAGGTTGAATAGAATCTGAACAGTACGAAGAACCAACTTGTGATGCAGTAGTCAGCAAGATCTTTATTTTTTAAATACAGATATAACGATTCAGTCTATTTAATTGTTTTCAGCTATGAATATATCCGCCAAATTATGTAATCAAAAAGAAATAAATACATGTTTGTGTTTTATATAAAAATACTGCTATTGCTAAACCTAATTTCGTTTAGTAAAATTAATATAAAGAGATTATGACAGATTTGAAAAAGAAAATGATAGTGGCAAAAATCAGTATTTCTATACTTAATTTATAAACTTTAAAAAAATTATATAGCCACGCCATTACTGATTACTTTCTTTTTTTATTGTATTTTTGTTTCATGACTATGTTTTTGTGTCATCATGATTTATAAATTTATTAAATATTCTGAACTTAATTCTTTTTCTTAACTTATTAATATTTCTAACGTATTACGTTTCACTTAATATACCGTTGCTCGCATATTTCTAACTTATTACGTTTCACTTAATATACCGTTGCTCGCATACCTATCAGAATTGTTTTGGTGAATCGTTGTCAGTATCTAGACAATTGTATTTGATTAAGTTATTTTTCTTTAGAAAACTTGTAATTAATAAAACTACAATTTAACGAGAGTACATGTAACTAATATTTTAAAATTACACCTTCTACTTTCAGAGCTGGGAGTAGCCGAGATATTAGCATATCCGGACTTTTAATACAAGGATTCGTGGTTCGTGAACTGTTGCTGAAAAATACGCCCCGCACGTAGGTGCGTTTATAAAAAGACTGTCAAATCCCGCTATTCAAATCAGACAAGAGCAGACTAAGAATTAGCGGTCGGTGTTGTTAATTAGCTCCCATCTCTGTAGACTAAAGTGCTTGAAAAATATTTAAACAAAATTAAAAACTATTTTTAACTGATGCAAGTTACGTATTCTTTTTTATTAACTAAGAATTAACGATAGAAGAAAGGTTGTAAAAAGTATGGAATTAAGCTTATGAACGTTTTTCCAATCCCACTAGCAACAGTGTATCAGTCACCATATAAACTTTTATTGCCTTTGCCACAACTATAGAAGAAAATTATATGCTAAAAACTAGGGTATCAAATTGATTAAAGAATGAATATATATGATGTATTGTTCTAAACTCAAAATTATGTTTTATTAATTTACATAAATAGATAGCCCATATTAGTTTTTACTGCATAATAATCCCAGCTTCTTTGCCATTTCTAACTAAGGCAAAAATGAAATAATACAAATCTGGATCACTGATTAAGGTATTCACTAATCGTATCCAAAATGTGAATTAAGCGAAAAAGGAGTTTTATGTCCTTGATAAATTTCCGATTCAGTCATTGATTTAATTAACTAACATTTGGCAGACTCAAAACTTGCTTACTTACCTAGTGTATTTAGCTTAATAAAAGACAGCGACGGGCATTTTCCTCTAACGTAAGTGACGTCACATTTGTATATCCCTTCGTCCTCGTAGAGTAAAGAGTGGATTTTCAAAAACGCGGAGTCATTCTGTAGCTTAAAGCTAGCACGAAAGGGATTTGTGAAATCTCCTAAAGCTGTTTCGAAATTTTCGCTATACAAATACACTCTCTCCCAATCATTAGATACGTTTTTGGTCCACGTGATGAAATAGACTCTTCCGCAAGTGTCTACGTCTACTTCACAAGGCAGGAGGACGTTGTTGCCCACAAAGTTCGTAACAGTATACTCTCTACCTATAAATAGAATAAATACTAGTCAGAACAGGATTAATTAAAATTTACTGTAGCATTAAATCAGCATATTATATGTTATTCGCATAGTGCGTTTCCATACAATATTTAGATCCAATATGGCATTTCTTCATATCTATGTCAGTATCTTAAATTTCATCCAACTTCTGCATACGTCATTGATTTAATTAAACTTACTATCTACATCGTATGGAATTACTTGTCAAAAAAAGAATTATGATTGCATTTCACTAATATGGGCAGGCGAAGCTAGCCCAAAATAAATCAAAAATCTAGGCAGGAGCGTGTTGAAACATTTGAAAAGAAGGCACTTACACGAACGTGTTTTAAATATACAGTTAGGATAACATTACTAATGTAACTGAATGAACTTTTCAAAATTTTACAAATGAAGTATTTACATAATAGCCTTAAACAAAGTTTCCAGCGATCTGGAAAAGTATTTTTCCGGGTGAGGGAAAAGTCGAGGAGTTTTAACAAAATGGTTGTTTTTATGCATCTTGTTTGCGCAACATCTATGAAGTTCATAACTGGTACATTTATATAAATAAAATTTCATAAAATATTTATGTTAGCGCTATGGTATAGCTGAAGGCTACAAGAAATATCAAGTGATTCAATGAAAGGAGAAAACTTTTATTATTTTAATGTTTAGCATTTAGTTAACCTTTAAAATCATACTCAAAGCGGATATAAGTCACTGAACTTATACTTATATTGAATATATTTCGAAATGAGATGATATATTCGTGTTAACTGTATTTTTTTTAGTAAAATACGGTAATGCAATTGGTTTTATAATACAATATGGAGATTTTATTATTATTACGAAATCATATAGAACAAAAAGTAACATACTCCTTGAAATTTGCAAAAAAAAAAAACTACTCCCATTTTAACGGGCAGTGAGTTATTATAGGTCAATGTGCCTGAGTTTTGAATCCAAGGATTCACGGTTCGCCATCTGTTAACGTAAGATAGCGCGACGTTAATTTTCAAACCTTGAGTGAGCAATATGAGTGAAGACTAAATCATATTATTCGATAAAATAAGATTAACCCAAAAGTTATTGGTGGGTGTTGTTCACTAGCTGTCTTCCTTCTGGATTAGTAGTTAGAAATATAAAAAAACAAAATAGCTCTAGAAGTGCTCGTCTAGCTTTGCACGAAATTCTGAAAAAATAAATAAAGGCTTCGTATTCAATTTCCATCTATGATATTATATAAAGCAAGTTATCTACAAGATTTAACTCCCGTGAAGCCCCCCCCCCCCAGTGGCACAACGGTATGTCTGCGGACTTATAACGCTAGAATCCACGT